GAGGAGTCAGGGAGTTGCAGTTCCTGGCCTAACCAGGGTTCCCTTGCCGCCTCCAGTGCCCTTGTTTTAGGTTTACTGGTGCCAAATGGGTAAACATAATCAAATTTCATAATCTTAAATGGTTGGTTTGGTTTATATATGTAGAAAAATCTGTGGAATAAAGATGAATCACATACCTTTACTTACAGTTCTTCTTTTCCTGGTTGGACTAGTTCCTATCCACGCTTTGGTGGGCCTTAGTGCATGACTGAGGCCACAGGGACAAACCTCTTCATGGGTATGATGGCTTCGGACAACAGTCACCAACACCTCTGTTCTCTTTACCTATCCTCATAAGATGAGAAATAGCCAAACTCTCTCTAGACTTGTGGGTATTTGCTATTACGCTAGGACATTGAGCTGCTCAGATGATGATGACAATGATGATGATGATATTTATTAAAACAGGAAACACACTGAGCACTAAATTAGGGAGTTACTGTACGGCATCTTGTTTAATTACCACAATCATCTCATGACGTATATATCACATACACTCATCATTTTAGATGGGAGACATATGGTAAGGGAGATGCTGAGAAATTTAGCTCCAAAATAGAATCAGACTGAGAAAGTCATCAAAAAATAAAGGAAAAGATGTGCTTCTGAGCTCCATCATCAACAGTGGTTGTGTCGTTGGGAGACAGTGCAGGCTCTTTCTTCAAGGTTTATTTCAAACCTTAGCACTTTTCACCACCCCCACTATAATCACTTCAAACCAAGCTACCACCACTCAACCACGAACAATCATTAATAAGAATGAGCTCTTTCAGAGTGCTAAGCATTAGTCTAAGCACTTAACCTGCATTGTGATTCACTCTTCATGGTAATCCAGTGAAGGAGGAGACGTTTCAGGTCTCCAGAGTTCGGGGCTCCATACATGCTGGACTCTTGAACTCCAGGGGTGAGACCACCCAGAGTTGTGCAACATGGGAACCTCTTACTATTACATCTGCAGCTTACAGATCAGACACTAGTTTAACTTGCCCATTGCTCATCAGTGATGGAGCTGTGCTTCAAACCTAGCAGTCTTCTTCCAGAGCCTCCACCACAGTTATTCCTATATCAGTTCTGCTACTGCTCTTGGCCTTCTATAAGTAGCCAGAGTGGTTCTTTTAAAACACATAAACAGTATATAGCTCAAAGCTCCAATAGCTTCCCATTAATGCCGGTCTAAACAGACTCCCTAACAGCGCCTCATGCCATGTGATCTGGCTCCTCCCTGCACCCCCATGCTCATCTCTGATAACTCTCTCTCTCTAGCTTACTCTGCTCCAGCCACTCAGCCTTCTTGATTTCCTACAGTCACAGGAAGCTTCTTTTCAACCTCAGAGTCTCTGTACTAAGCTGCTTTCCCTAAGCCAACCTCACACTTTGTCCAGATCCCCCCAGGCATCTGGTCCCCACTTCATTCTGGACTCTGTTAAAATGCTACCTTTTCCAGGGAGGTTTCCCAGACCTTCCACTTTGAAATAGCTCCCGACTCCCATTTGCCATTCTCTATTCCATTGTTCTCTTTGTCTACCCCCATGATACTTACTAGTACTCAAAATGGTAGCTTCTGTTTGTTAGTGCTTCGGATTTTTGACCCTTGAATATAAACAAGGACTAATTCCTCAACACTGAGTCTCCAGATCTGGAAGACAGCCTGGTGTATAGCAGAAGCTCAAAAAAGACTGGCAGGGTAAATAGTGAGCCCAGTGCCTGGTAGGCAGTGTTTCAGTGCCAGCCCGGGCCACAGTCAATCCTCAGGAAGAACCAACACAACAGGGTAGGATGGAAGGAAGATTTTGATTTAGTGATATTTATTTGGTAATTTTGAGTTTCAAGCATAGTGACACTGCAATGACAAGAAGAAACACCAAAATGACAGCCAGGATTTGGAGTTGGAAGCCCTGATCTCTGGTTCTCTAGAGCTTAAATGGGATAAGCAAGCAAGAAGCACAGCTTTTCTATTGGGGATCAGTTCATTCCATGTGCAACACAGTGACCAGCCATTTCTAACAGACAGAAGCAACCAGAACTAGAACAGGAACTATTACCTGGGCAACTAAAGAACTGGAACACACTGGCGGGGCAGGGCAGGGGGCATTTTTTTGATATAAGATCTATTATCTCATTTTATTCTTATGTCCTGTGCAGTATGTAATAAAGGATAGTGGTAAAAACATATTGTATCAATTCCTTAACAGACTCTTTATCCAAAACAGGAAAGAGACAATTATTAAAAACATGGACTCTGAATTGCCTATCTTTATGGAGTCCAAACTCTTAAGAATTTGTTTGTTTTTTATGAGTCAACTGTGTTAATACTACAGAGTATTTAATTTGTGCTTATTTTCATTATATCACCAAGATAAAAGGTTTATTTGTACTGTTTCCTCAATTCAGCTTTTAAAATCTCAGTGATTGAATTCACTGAACACATGTGAGTTTCCTGTATAAATTTCAATGTCCATTTTTATGAGGAATAAATCTGTGTTTTCCTAAAGATGTGTCAAAACTAAATTCCCATTTTATAATAACATTAAAGCAGCATTTTAATCCCTTGATCATTTTAATCGTGTTAGAGACTCAAAATCTTCATCCTATTCTAATCTGAAATCCTGAAGGGTCTAAAAATATTCCAGAAAGAATCCTCCTTCCTTAATACAAGAGAGGTCTCCTCAGTGGGCCAGGCATTTCCCTGCCTCACTGCCCAGCAAGGCACAGGCTTTTTGGTTGGTTTATGTTTAAGCTTGAATTTGTGCAATAAGGATGTGGCTCCCATTGCAAGCTTCTGCACCACAAAACAGTTTTATTAAGTCTAGGCTGTAAATGGTCCTGGTTTATGTAACAAGTTCCCTCCAGTCCAACAACTCACTATTAAAACCATGGGTCAGGGGTGAGCATGAAGGGTCCCTTCAGTCCCCACTGTGCAACATAGGAAGCCATACATTCAGTTAGGACCCTAGGTCACTGTATCACAGGTCAAACATTACTAATCTGAAAATCCAAAACCCAGAATGCTTCAACTTTTTGACCACTGATACCACAATGGCAATTTCTACACCCAAGCAAATGCAACTTACGAGATATTCAGGGTGCTCATTCTACCTGAAAGGAAAGGGAATTTGCACATATTGCTGAACCCCAATTCTCATGCTCCACAGTGTCCTGAACACAATGCTTCATTACAGGAAGACCTCTTCCCCTGGGGACCTTCTTAATTCATCCACCAGTGGTATCCTTCATGTAAACCACCCCTCTCCACGTTATCAAGATTTCCAAGTGCTTGAAACAAACTTACCTTGATCACATATACGCTTTGGGTGAAAGCTGAGCATGACAAGTGTTCTTTAGTGCAAGGAGCTAACATTTGCATAACATTGTGATAGATGAGATAGTTTAATCTTTGCTCCCAAGCAGAGTATGATTACAATTTTGTTAGTGGGAAAACCAAAGCAGAGAGGAGTTGGCAATTTGTTCAAGGCTATGGAAGAGGAAGAAATGGAACTTAAATCCTGATCTTTTGTCTTCAAATTACAAGTAAGCAAGACTAATCAAAACAAGCTTAAGCAAAGCTACTCTCTTTAAAGACTGAAATATCTAATGTCAACACCAAGTAAGGGGTACCACATTGCATTGTTTGTTTGATCTATCTATCTATCTATCATCTATCTATCTATCTAATCTATCGTCTATCTATCTATCTATACTGAAGACGGAACCAAGGCCACACACATGCTAAGTAAGTGCTCTACAACTAAGCTACATCTCCAGCCATTTTTATTTTTTATTTTGAGACAGGGTCTTGCTAATCACCCATGTTGTTCGCAAACTTATGATCCTGCTGTCTCAGCTTCTCAGTAGCTATGATTACAGGTATGTGTCACTATGCCCGGTCACAGGATACAATTTACCAGACATGCTGCAGCTTTTGTCTGGGAGACCATACTGAGGTCACTATTAGCCAACAGGAGAATGACAGGGCCACACCAAGTGGGTCCTTCAAAATTAAGAATGACCTGAAGTGGTTTCCATGGAACGACTGTAAGTCAGCAAAGCAAATGAGATTTGATCCTAACTACACTCTTATTTCCTGGAGCAGTTGGTACACAAAAATTTAAGGCAAATTTCCCATTAAAAATGTTTTGCATAAATGTTGAGTCTCTCACAGAATATCATTTAAATACTGCAATATTTTATTCTTCTGAGATGTCTCATCCTCCGATAGGTCCAGACAAATGGGATGTTATTGTATCATAGACTAATCTTTCAAACCTAAATTCTAGCACAGTGCTTCAAGTTGCTACTTTAATGAGATTTATGGTTAAGCTTCCCTCAAATCTGTATTATTTCATTCAATGAAAATGAGGCTCTTTTAACCAATGAGCCTCTAAAATTCTCAAATCACTGATAACAAATGAAATATTGATGTGACAGTGATGTTTAATGTGTACAAACTATCATTTTAATTTTTAATCTTCTATGCCAAAGAAACAAGGCATATTTTTCTGGAGTAAATTAAGGTACAGTCCCAGTTCTGAAAGGTCTTTAGAGGATTAAATATTATTGAGATAACAGGGAAAATTCTGATAAATTTCTTAGATAACAGTAGCTCACAGCGGGAAATGACAGAGGATGAAGGGAATGACTGCCTGCCAGCCAGGTTTGCCCAGTCAGGGTCTCCATCATTCTACCTAGGGGAAGAGACTGGCTTTCCAAATGCCCTGGGCTTGAGAAGAGGAAGCTCCTGACTCTTCCAATTCTCCTGATTATGACACAGCAGCTGGTGGGGCTGAAATCTTAGCAACTGTCACTTATGGATGGCTTGCCACATGCCAGTCACTGCCTGGTCATTTCACATCGAAGACTTCATTTGTTACACGACAGTATGAGGTAAGCAACATCCTCATTTTACTGAAGAATCACCTGTTGTTCCAGGAAGTGAAAAACTTTCTGGCAGTTACACTACTCACCAGCAGCAATGCCAGGATTCAAATCCAGATCTGGCTACTTCTGGAACCCATTCTCTAATCACACTGCTGCTATTGCAAGAGCCACAACCTGTAAAAACAGAAAGATATCTCTGCTGTTCACCCCACTTCCACCTCTGCCAGTTCCCCAAACCAACATCAAAACCTTCTTCCAGCTCACAGAAGGTAAAGGTATGGTCATTAATTTCCTCTCTTCAACTTCTTGAATTTTGTAAGCAGCATGACAAAAATGGTGTTTTCCACTCACAGCTGAATGCAGGACACTGCCCTCCTTGATATTTACTCAACCAGGTAAAACACATCAGTGTGCTGTGTAGGTATTGTCTTAAATAGGATGTAAACATTAACATCTGAACCCATAAACAATATCTATAAACACTGTACAGCAATATTAAATTGAGGTTTTTGACTAATCAATCTCTCAGAGTCAGTGTGCTTGCAACCCAAGGACAGTGTAAAATTTCCACGTATTTTTCAAAGAAAGGTTCAAAGAACCTGTTCCATAACCCTTGAATCTCCTCACCATTTAGAGAATTTAAGAGTGGAGCAGAGCCTTTTGTTTTTTTTAGTACCAGGGATTGAATAGGTTGCTGAGGGTTTGTTAGTTTCCATCTTCATACAGCTACTTCTCACTGAAAGGAGCTATAGGTCCAACTTACTGGCCATTATGTCCTAACTGCCTTGGGATGTTGTGGCTCACTGGCTGTGTTGAAAAAAAAAAAAAAACACCTGAGGATCATAAGAAAGGATTCAATACCTATTTATGAAGAGCTGTTGAGCTCCCTATTCAATGGAAAAAAGCTTGGTGAATTTGACAGAGTAACTAGATACAGTCTAGGTCATTCTCTGAAGTCTTGAGAGGATAAACTTTACTTTTAGGTTGGGAGTGCAGAGCTTAAATATAAGAAAGAGCAGGTCAGAATACTTCCTAGTCTACCTAAAAAGATGGACTATGGAGAATCTAACAATTTCCACACTTCCTGTAGAGGAAAAAGTATGGCAAAGAAGGATATTAGAAAGACTAAAAAGAGCCTGAGATTTACAATCCTACCAAGATTAACCACTGTATCAATCAGTGCTTACTAGAGAAACATGTTTAATGCAAGATGTACAAATATGGACTCCCAACAAAGTCAGGTATAGAAGATCTCAAAAGATCTGCTGGAGATTCTGAAGAATCCAGTTGGAAGCCTGAACCTAAGTGTAGTATCCCAGATGAGTCCGTATCACGGGCCATAGGTCTGCCATGGAAAGCTGAACAGTCTGTGTTGGAGATTGAAGATTCTGCACTGGAAGACAGGCGGTGATGTTTAAGGTGAAGGTGAAGACTAGAGCTCTCCAAAGAAAACAGAAGTGAACCTGTCACAAGCCAGGCTTTGATATTGCTCACAGATGAAACTTCTCAAATGAGAAATATGGTTTTGCAAAACTGTATGACTCTTGATTTACTAACTGTAGTGTGAGGAGGTACATGTGTCCTCTTGTGTATAGAATGTTGCATTTGTATCCCTGATCCCTGGACATAGGAAAAAAAGCCTTATAGTGCTGAATGTCTATAAACTGCACTGTGGTGGCGATGGAGTTAGTGATAATATGCTGTTTCTTGTATTGCTGTTGTAGTCTTTGTGTGCAGGGTTCAGCTTTATGGGCCATTCACAAGAAGTGACATTTCCCTGACCTTTGAAAGGTGAGATGGGATCTATGGGGATTGCTCCAACGCTCAGGGCATCTGGGGATACGTGAGGATATGACTTTGCTGTCTAGCACAGATGCACAATGGGATACACCTATGTAACCATGATTTAGCACAAGCAACTACTAATGCACTACGTGCTTAAGTCAGTGTAAAAGAATGTAAATATGTGATAACAACATATATAAGGGTTAAATAATAAGACTTTTTTTACTGTTTTGCTGATGTTGGCCTCACGTGCATTCTTTTCCTTGGGGATTTCACCCCCTGGCTCCAACATGCAGATGTCTGAGGTCAGAGCATTGAAGATTGCCCGGGGCATCTTTAGTTCTCATCAGAGCAGGAGATGAGAGTTTTGGATAGCCTAGCCTCTCTAAGCTACTACTAGAGTAGTGGGGATAGTCAGTCCTCCAGTGCTATGACTCAGCACATTGGCCACCTGACACAAGCTCAGATGGTGGCTTGGTACAGTTGTGAGCCCAATGTCCACTTTTCTTGTATTTAAAGCAGGCTTCAGTCATCTCTGGGTTTTTCCCTGGATGACTTGGATATGCTTCAAACATTGCCAATTTTGGTCCCCCCCCCCCCAGTCCTTCATTTATCTTCATCTAGATCCTGATTGCTGAACACAAAAAAAGGCTATGTCCAGCCATTGGGTCATGGGGCCTGGAGACCCATCTGCAAACCTACCAGGATCTTCTGAAAAATACTAGGTCTCTCTAGGGCACTATTCAGGTAGAGTTCCTGACTATTTATAAACTTGAGGATTATATGGAGGAGGTCAAGGAGACCACCCCTATGGCTGTTTATAGTAAACAAGTGGTGGAGATCCATATCCACCTGAGAGACAGGTGGGTATCTGAGGATAGGTTATTCTCAGTATTAAGTTCTTCTTCCTTGGTGGCCTCTTTAAATTCCATAGTCCTTGGACCTTTCCAGAGCTAAAGGGCCACAAACATTTTAACATAAAAGATTTATATCACTTTCCTTGCCTTTTACAAAAAAAGATCTAATTGAAGAATAGTATTATAATTTATACTGACATCCTGTATCCATTTCTTGCATCCTCTTCATACTGAACACAAAAAGTTTTGTATGGTGCCTGTGGAAAGAGAGAGAAGTCTAGATCTGAGACCCTCCAGAAGGCATCCCCTGAAGAAAGAGACTCATTGAATCCAAGAAGCAGACTTTACGAGCCTTGTACTATCAGATATCTCTAGCAAAGCACTGGTGCCTTTGTCTAGACTTGCCCACAATCTGCAACCCACTAAAATTCTTTTAGGGTTAAATTGTTTCCAATGGCAAGGTGGCTGGGATCTTCAGGATGTTTCCCACTGAGCTCCCAGAAGCATCCGTCATGACATTCAATCGTACTACCTACCAAATGTCTTGGTGAAGCAGCACTGGTCTCATTTTATCTTTTTTTCCCCCTTAAAATATTCCATATGCTGTGGCCCACTATGACTTCTTAGAAAAAGGGTGGAGTCCTCCAGGGGCTCCAATCAGTTACTTGAGAGAAGGTCAGGGTTGGGCCACCTGGAGACTGCATTTAGCTACCTGAGAAACACTACCTCTGACATGTATCCCAATATTAAAACTTTGGTACTTTGTTTAAAACAGCAGAGACAGAAACTTCTTTTAAAGTTCTAAGCACAAGGTTAGCTCTACTTTTGCATACTTACAGCACATTGACATGACTTTTTATCAGTTGTCCCTTTGTTCTATTCAGGCCCTCAGTCACACATTTTCAAATAACTTGAATTTCTGTTGGAAGAAAAATAAGAAGTGGATCTAAACCAATGCAGAAAAAAAGAGAAAAGAAGAAGAGAGGAGAGGGAACGAGAGGGGAGGGGAAGGAAGGGGAGGGGAAGGAAGGAAAAAGAAGGGAAGGAGGGAAGGGAAGGGAATGGAAGGGAAGAGGAGAGGAGAGGAGAGGAGAGGAGAGGAGAGGAGAGGAGAGGAGAGGAGAGGAGAGGAGAGGAGAGGAGAAGAGAAGGATTCCCATATGTTTCCTGAATGAACAAACATGGTGGAACCATGTAGACTAGGATGGCTCTTTGAAAAAGTGACTGTAGGATACCCAGAGATAAAGACCATGTAGGGGGCAAGTGCAAAAGAGCACAAGAAAAAATAGGCTAGAATAGGTGTCTACTGAAGCAGGAGACCAAATTCCTAATATCTATTTTTCCCCAAAACTGAGAAAGCTAAACAGGTTCTCTGGCAGCCACCATTCGTGCAACCACAGAGAACACCACCATATCTGGCAGATCACCACTGGGGTGTGCATCCCTAGCTGCAGCGTCCCCATGCACACACTGGGCCTCCACACAGATACATCCAAGAGGAACCTCTCCACAAAAACCTGTCCAGGCAGAGGAAGGAATGCAGCAGGGTGAAGAGGCCAAGGGAGAGCAGTATGAGAAGCAGCACGACAGGAAGTGGTGGCAGCTGTGGAGCTGGCCTGTTCCAGTGTACCCCCCTTTCACCCGCAGGACTTGCTCCTGTGCCTGAGCCAGGGTCCATGCTACAGCTCAGGGAAGGTTGGGGGCATGCCCTGGCCAGTGTCCCAACGGCTCATTCCACAGCATGGGGAACAGACATCCGAATACACAGCTTTGTGGGACTACAATTGACTGTACGCCACAGCAGAGCTTCTTGAGTCATGCTCTGGCTCTGCTGGCCCAGGCTCTCTGCACTGTGCTGGTTCACTCTCTTGCTGCTCTCTCTTGTAGCCACTGGAAGGACAGAAAAGGTCTCTGATTCCACTAATTTTTCTTACCTCCTGACTGGTTTGCCAAAACTGTTATTGGGGTTCTCGGGTGCTGTGCTCTTTCCAGGATCCTTTTCAGGCTCTTTCCCTGAACAAAGAATTTGACAAGACACAAGGTAGTAATGTTTTACATTTATTAAAGGCATTGAAGATAGGGAAAGGAGATGCTCTGCAAATGAGCTCTATAGACCAGTTAAAGGTAGGAAAAGAAGTACATTTACAGAGTGCAGAGCGGGCTAGTGAAAAAGGCTTGCAGCAGCCACAAAGTTAATGGCCACTGATAGATTCTGCTAGCCTGGGGCTTAGCTATCTATAACATGACATCAGTCCAACTTGATACCAGACCCAGAGAAGCAACTTATCTCTCCAAGAGTAACTTCTACTGTCTCTTTCTCATTCTAAAGATAAACCTCCTGTTCCTTTTTTGTGCATGTGCCGAGCACTCTCTGATTCCAAGACTCCACGGCCACCCAAGCCTTACTCTCAGCCCCCAGTAAATCTTTCTCTTTCCTGTTTTGCACAGGCAGATGCTCCTTCAAATCAGCTGTTAATATGTCATTTTACCCATCTCCCAAAATCTAGCCCCAGCCAGACCTGATAAAAGTAGTTTCCTTCCTTTGTTCTCATTGAGAGCTCCTACACTCCTTTGTAGCTCTCCTGTGCCCAGATTAAAGGCCGTTCTACTCTTTGTCTCTTATTATTTCTTTAGCATCATCTCAGATTGAATGTCAAAATACTCCAATCAGCCACTATCTTTTAAATTCCCAATTCTGATGTCAGATTTAGATCATTACTATTAAATATTTGCTTGAACCTGTGCCAGAAGAATTAAAATAGCATTTTCTGATTGATATAAGGTGCCAGGCTTAGATGCTGTTCTACCCACATGTCCTGAATACCCATGATTTACAAGTCATGCTAACTTGTCCAGCCACTTTGCCACACTATAAACTCTGACCTCAAGATTGCCGTAAAATGCTTACTGAAGCAGTATCTTGGTTACTTTTACTCTTGTTGAGACAAAATAACTGACATTCAAAATGAAGGAAGGAAAGTTGTATTTAGCTTACTGTTTGTGGAGGTTTCAGTCTATAATCAGCTGGCTCCAAGGCAGGGTGGTATGGCTAAGAGGCAGTGGTTCATGGCAGTCACAAGCAACAAGAGCAAAAAGTGAAAAAATGGAAAAAGCATGCCTCCTCCCCTCCCCTATATTGTATGCTGGCTACCTGACCTTGGGCAGGTGCAGCATCCACACCACCAATCCCAGCACTAGACAAAAAACCAATCACAAAGGTCACCATGAGTGCATGAAACTTTGAGGGGGACATTTAAACCACAACAGGCACCATTTTGTGAGATGGTTAATTATTTAAATCTGAGATCAGACAAAAGTCATTTCAAGGATTCTAGGAACCCTAACATAGTTACTGTGTGAGTGACAGCCACAGGAAACAGTAATGGACAGGGAGTGAGCTGCACAGACAACTCTGAGAAGTTTAAATTCAGGCCACAAAAGACACAGGTCCCACATTCCATGGTTAGAAGCCAGACCAGGCTTGCATGTGCACAGAAACAGCTGGGTCTAAAAGTGCCAGGGTTACATACTTGAACTCTTGCCTTCCTGCCTGCATCTACCACAGACAGCTCTGAGGTTTGATTGCCTTTTACATCTACCAATATGAACAAGGACATGTGTTGATTTGAACAGGTGCCACAGCCTGGGGAAAATCAAATGGCCTCTGGAAAGGGGAGCGGGGCTCAAAAAGCGCACAGTTCATAAAGCTAGGTGGAGAAAACCTTAACTTACTGGAGGCCAGTATTTCAGATCATAGAAAAAAACTGCTTATTCATAAGTACAGAGAAAGTTTTTTTCTGTTATTGAATTCATTTTTTCTTACTTGCTCCACCCCCACCCCCCCATCCTTTCTTCTGCACTGATTTATTTAGATTTGAGGGATTTTCTTTCCTTGTTTTTCTCTTTTCTTTCTCTCATTTTTCTTTTTATTTTTTCCACATTAATATTTCTTTTTATATTCACTGTATTTTTCTTTTACTTTCCGTTTGTTTTTTGTATTACCTTTATCTAATTCTATAAATTTCTTCTTCCTCTCTAATAGGACCCCTTGTCTCATCTTTCTCTCATGTCTCTCATTTCCCATTATGTAATTTTTCTTTTTTTTTTTTATTTAAGAGGAAAAAGAGAAAAACAAAAAACAAACCAAAGCGGTGTAAGGGTACACGTATTGCAGGACTACAAAAAAACAAAACAAAACAAAAAAAAACCAAAACAAACAAAAAAAAAACATAACAGTAAGAAATCACCTGTTAGTAGATTACATATTATCATCTTGAAAATAGTTCCTCAAATCACAGTATCAAAGAATACAAGGTGGACATTCAAACAGGGAGACTGCAAACAGCTGTGTTCAATGATCCAAAAACATTGATATAGTCAGCTATTTAACACCCCTAAACACACTTGCTGTTATATCCGTTAGAGCTCTTTTTATATTTTTTTTCCCTCTCTTTTTTACAACAAAATTTACACATTTTGGATTTTATTACTCCTTAGTGCTTATTACTTTTTTTGGGGGGGGGGGAAGAATACAGTCAAATATGGCAAAACAAACCTGTCAGTCAATACCAAGGATAGACATAGCACATGGTGTAGAACAGAGTACAAGGTTATCAACAATGGTTATCAACGTTGTCCCTTGTTTCCTTAAAAAGAATTGTCTATCTCATTAGATATTATAAAGTTGGACAAAACAGTAGAGAACAAGACCAATAAAACTTAGGCATTGTAAACATTACAGGACTTCCAAAGAAGACAATAGTCAAACCAGAATGGGTATCTTAGTGAATCTTATTGTCTTCAAAGTAGTTGCCTATGTCTTCAAACTTGATACTATCATATAGAATGGAACAGAGTCTAATCAGTCAAAACAAGATCGTGGGAGTACTACAGGACTTCAAAACTAGTTAATAGGAAATCAAAAAGAGTTACTATTTATATATCCTAATTTTTAAAATTTTTTCTTTAATTAAAATTAGACAAACATAAGAAATGACTAAATAATTTTTTTAAAACAATAAGGGGGAGATTTAGATAAAACAGGACATAACAATATAACAATAGAGGTCACAGCATGACTGTTTCAACAACCTAGTACTTCACCACCATATAACCTGACTTAATAGTAGTTACCATAGTGTCTTTTTCCTTGAAATATTTGGATAAAACTTCATATACTCTAGCTTCAAATATTTTCATATCAAGAAGCCCAGAATAAAGCCTTTCTAATTAATGAGTGAAAACTTTATAAGGCTCCAAGGCCACCTAATGGGGAATCATGATTACCACATATTTTTATATATTTGAATCATTACTTACATTAGGGAAACTATTCGGTATTCACACATGCAAGATTGATTTATTTCACTTATGAGTATGGTCTCAAGCTGCGCCCATTTATTGATAAATATCTCAATGTGATCCTTCTTTATAGCTGAATAATACTCCATTGTATAGAAATACCACAACTTTTTTATCCATTCCTCAGTTGATGGACACTTGGGTTGTTTCCAAGATCTGGCGATTACAAATTGTGCTGCTATAAACATAGGTGCACATATATCACTGTGGTATGATGCTTTCAGTTCTTCTGGGAATATGCCTAGAAGTGGAATAGCTGGAATAAATGGGATTTCCAGTCCCAACTTTTTGAAAAATCTCCAGACAGATCTCCACAAAGGCTGTACTAGTCTACACTCCCACCAGCAGTGCAGGAGAGTTCCTTTTTCCCCACAGCCTCTCCAGCATTTGTTGTCGGTTTTCTTGATCCTGGCCATTCTTTCAGGAGTGAGATGGTATCTCAGTGTGGTTTTAATTTGCATTTCTCTAATGACCAATGATGATGAGCATTTTTTCATGTATTTATTTGCCATTTGCATTTCTTCATCTGAGAATTGCATATTCATCTCAGATGCCCATTTTTGGATTGGATCTTTGAATTTTGGAGGTCTGAGTTTCTTTAATTCTTTATATGTTTTAGACAAGAGGCCCTTGTCTGAGAGAGAGTTCACTAAAATCTTTTCCCAGTTTGTGGGTTTTCTTTTCACTATGCTGGAGATTTCTTTTGACATGCAGAAACTTTTTAATAAGAAGTGGTCCCAGTTATTGATTCTGGGAAGAATTTCCCGTGCGGTTTGAGTCCTGTTCATGAATTCTTTACCTACTCCTATGTCTCCAAGGTTTCTACCTAATTTGTCTTCCAATAGATTTAGTGTTTCTGTTTTAATATTCAGATATTTGACCCATTTAGATTTTAATTTAGTACATGGTGATAGACATGGGTCTAGCTTTAGTTTTCGGCAAATGGAGAGCCAGTTTTTCCAGCACCATTTATTAAAGAGACTGTCGTTCTTCCAGTGAACCTGCTTGGCTCCTTTATCAAAGATAAGGTGGTTGAGTGTGTTCGTAGTTGTGGTTGTATCTTCTAATCTATTCCACTGATCTTCGGCTCTGTTTTGATTCCAATACCATGTTGATTTTACTACTGTTGCTTTGTAGTATAACTTCAAGTCAGGGATTGTGATGCCTCCTGCTTTGTCTTTGCTGCTTAGAATTGCCTTTGCGATTCTAGGTCTCTTCTGGTTCCAGATGAAATTTAGGAGTGATTTCTCTAGATCTATAAGGTATGTTGATGGTATTTCTATTGGGATTGCATTGAATCTGTATAACACTTTTGGGAGAATGGCCATTTTCACAATGTTTGTTCTTCCTATCCATGAGCAAGGGATGTCTTTCCATTTTCTGAGATCATCTTCAATTTCCTTTTTCAGTGTATTATAATTTTCACTGTATAAGTCTTTCACTTCTTTCGTAAGAGTAATTCCTAAATATTTCATTTTTTTGCTTGCTAATGTGAATAGTCCAGTTTCTCTTATTTCCCTCTCTGTAATTTTGTTGTTCGTGTATAGGAATGCTATTGATTTCTGAGTATTGATTTTGTATCCAGCCACATTACTGAATTTATTTATTGTATCTAAGAGTATTTCAATGGAGTTTAGGGGGTCTTCTATGTAGAGTATCATGTCATCTGCAAACAATGATAATTTAACTTCTTCTTTTCCTATCTTTACCCCTTTTATTTCTCTTTCTTGCCTAATTGCTCTGGCTAGTACTTC